TGCCCAGAACTCCACTTGTTTTGTTACGGTTCCTGCTCTTACTGGGAGAATTATTTTGCCGATGGGCCATTCTGGCATGGAGTTGAATCCAATTAAGGGAGATACGGCAGGCGCCAAGTCTTTGTCTTGTAGCTTCAATTGTTTAAATGTTTCATAGTACATGATTTCACATGAACTACCCTGGTCGATCAGAATCCGCTTGACGTCAAAATCCTTGACTCGGAGAGTGACGACCAGGGCATCATTGTGAGGGCAGTAAATTCGTTCCAAGTCCTTATCCGAAAAGGACATGATGTTTGTTGCCTCTGTCTTCCCCTTCTTAAAGACAGGTTGGGCACTTTGTACTTCTCTAAAGTGCTCAGCCTTTTGGATCGAACCCTTGAGCTTGCATACATTCAAAGATTCCATGTATTACATTGATAATGCCTTGAGGTGGGGCGTCGAGTGGCATTCCATTGGGGTTATTATGATCTTGGGGGGCTGGCTGTGTCCCTCCTTCAATGTATTTGTCCAAGTGACCTGCTGCCACCAGTTCTTCCAAGTGTTGTCTCAGTGGCGTGCAATTCTCAGTTCGGTGCCCCTTTTCTTTGTGGAAGGTGCACCGTGATCTGTCGTCGTAGTCTTTCTGAGCTTCTCCCAGCTTGGCTGGCCACGTGACGAAAGGCTCATCTCTTATTTCGCTCAGGATCCGATATATTGGTTTTTTGAACACCGTTGTTATAGCAGTGCGGATTCTCAACCATCTTTTGTCTGGGTCCTCTCCGTTATCTCGTTTGCCACGCCCGTTTCTATTCTAACGATCTACTGTATTGACCTTTGTTGAGGTTTTCTTTTCTGGTACTGCGGTCGTACTAGATTTTGCTTTGGCACGTGTGCCATCCTCTTCTACCCTGATGTGCTGATGCACTCTCTCCATCAGGGCTTCCATGGTGAGGGGTGGCGTCATGGTGATCGAGTCCCTTAGTCTGTTCCCGACTGGAAGGCCTCTTTTATACTGTGCAATGGCGAGATTGGTGGGGCAGTCTCCAATTTGATTGAATGTCTCCCAGTAGCGATTGTTGTAGGATCTAAGGGTCTCTTTATCCCCCATGTCGATGGAGAGTAGTTGGTCGATCTCCACAGGTGTTTTAGTGTTTGTTCGGAACCTTGTTACGAACGCTTCTGCCATTTTACTGATTTTTTTTAATATTTTAAATAATTTTTTTAAATTTTTAGAGACATTTAACATAAATACGCTTTAAAAATATAATATTTGTGAAAAAAATTCACTAAATATCAAAAATATAAAAAATACAAAAATTCAATATATTTTTCATATTTTTGTGTATTTATTAATTTTTACAAATATTTTATTATTTAGATATATCTAAGTAAGGTGTGTGCATCTAAAAAAGTAAAAAAATTATTTAAAATTTTAAAAATATTCATTAAAAATAAAAAATAAAAAATTCAATTTCCAAAAAATCAAAACCAAACACACTATTTTTAACTAATTAAAAAATAAAAACGTGTTCACCTTTAGCTAAAACAAATTATTATTAACAATTAAAAAAGCTAAGGATTCACTTGATTTTTTCACTAACTAAAAGAAAGTAATAAAGACATCAAATTTTTTAACAACTTTATTTTTAAAAAAATCATTGTCAAACTAACCCTCGATATATGCTTTTGTTTTTTATTTTGCGCGGAGGGAGATTGGGCTTTATCTTTCGGCTGATTAAAGTTTTATGAATCTATGGCTTTAAAATAAAATTTCACTAAGATACTTTTTAATATTATAATTATGGGTAATTTTATTTACACATCATTAATATTCTCAAAATATACTATCACTTAATAAACGTATAAAATAATTTTTAAGATTTAAAAATATCTTATTTCACATCTTAACTTTTCATTACTAACCCTATATTAACACGCCACTAACTATTTGAATATATACCAAAAACTTTTCATCTTCACCACTACACAAAACAAAAAACCCCCACAATCCTCAGAATAGAGACCATCTTCGTTTGTTTTGATATCCATCGTCATTCTGCCTTCATCTTCGCTGGTGTTAATCTTCATTGTCGGTTGTACGGGAAAGAAATACACCTTCTCGTATAATCCTGTTGACTAAGTCCACGCTCCTCCGTATGACGTCGCTTTGTCACCTGAAAACACAAACGCGAGCTGGCCGGCGGGTGTGTGCCGGAAACCTCTCCGATGCCTAAGTCAGTAAACTTGACAAATAGACAAAGTTCAATGTGTTCAGAAAGCAAAGTTGTGTGTTACCTCCTCCAAGGTGATGTTTGTGAGCTTTTATAGGTTTCAAGTGGCCCAATCCTAGTAGGACTTTTATTCCATCATGCAGAGTCCTCCTAGGATTCATACCCCTATAGGATAATGCTTATCTTCTTACACACCCCTCCTACTGCTTAAACCAAGTGGGATGGTTTGCACCATAGCCGAACTGCCATACGACCGAGATAAACTAGGCTATACTGAGCCACAGAGTAGGCCGAACTTATCCTTAGTTCGGTTCTTGCGTTTACCCCTCCCTATCTCGGCTTTCCATGAAGAACCCATGGTACGGTTTTTAGACCGAACCATTGATTCGCGGCCGGTATAACTCCAAGACCGGCACAACTCCAAGTCGTTCCCGGACCGAAGTAGCTTTACAATATTTGAGCCGAAGTAATTTCATCTCTTTTGACCGGAATAACTTTATCCTTTTTGGGCCGAAGTAACTTTATCTCTTTTGGGCCGAAGTAACTTTATCTCTTGAGCCGGAGTAACATTACGGTCTTTTTTACACAGTCCTTCGTACTCTGGGCCACAAAGTCCATCTCACAGCTCGGCCCAATTTTCACCAAAAATTACCCTCTCATCGGTGTTGAACTCTAGTATCTCGTTATCATTTCATATTATCATTCTCACTCTTGATTCATGAATGTATGTTAATGGTGAAAATGAACATACCTCTTTTTTTGGGTGGGTAACAGGAACATACCTCGTTAGTAACAAATTCACTTTTGTAGTCAACAACATAATTAGTTTTAACATTGCTACATTGGGTGGGTATAAAATTCTGTAAAAAATTTAACAAATTCATCCAATTAATCATGTTCAAGAATTCAGAATTGAACAAACTTAGTGTGTTCAAAAATTTATATTTGAATAACGAATAAAAGTTTAATTTATTTTAATCGAACTAACTTAAAATTTTCAATTTTTTATGTATGAACATGTAATATGTGATCAATGTTAATAATTTGAACAAAATTGTTTTGTTTAAATATAAATAATCGAACATTGTGTAAAAGTTCAACTTTGTTATCTGAACACGATGAACAAACTCATCTTTCCAACATATGAACGAGATAAATAAAAAATCAAAAAGTTAAGCCATAAACTAACGTTTTGAATGGTTTGATTTTGTTTCTGTTTTTTTGTTTTCAAATTATTACCTCTTCTACAATTTGTTGCTGATTTACTTGTGTATATATGTGTGTGTGTGTGTCTGGAAAACTTTTATTTATGATGGACATCACTCTTTAGCAAGTTTGGCCCCTCTCTCTCTATATGTATGTGTGTATTCTTTTTCAGTTTGATCATTGTTATTGCCTCTATCAGGTAAAGCTTGACAAACGCCTATTTTTTTGAATTAAATTGTTGGTCATAGATTTCAAAGCATTAATTGTTGACTATGACTTTTCTATTTTGACTTTTTATTTGCCAATTTTGTTTTGGTTTATTATTTTAAGGTTTGTTAAATGGTGTTTAAAAGACAGATGGCAAAAATTTATAGATTGGAGCTTCTAAGGTATATTTATTTTTCTAAAAACTTTTTTTTTGGGGGTTAATATGTTAATGCCTTCTGTTTGGAAAGAAAAAAAAAAATACTTGTATTGGTTGGTTGGTTCCTAATGTTGCAGGTCATATTGTCTATTTGAATATCACATACGAACTGCTTCCTTACAGTTATCAATACTTTGTTAGAATAATGAGGAGTGGGTGAGAGAATTTCTTCTTTTCTTCCCAATCTATTCAATTTTATTAAATTGTTTATATAGTTAACTAGGTGAGATTATTGCTGAATTTTTTTTGGTTCAGGAAGGTAGAAATACAAAATTAGAAACAGAATGAGTTAAGCAAAAAGGAAGTCTCGTTCGATATGGATTTTTGACATCAGTTAGTTCAGGTAATGGATTTTTTTAAGACTTTAACAAGTTTTACACTTGGCTTACCATTTTTGTACTTGACTAATTTCACCGAAAAAAAATTAGATTACAACCATGAGAACACATTTAAGTCAAAGAGAAACCATTTTGTTCCTCCTCTGTTTCTCTGATCTCTACTAGTATGAATGAACTACTTTGATTATTTTCTTTCCTTTCCTTTGTTTTGATTGGTAGATTTCTATAAATCAATTTCTAATATTTCATTTCCTTTTGCTGCAGTTCATGGGTCTTTGTTGCAAGTGGTGTCTTGATATGACTGGATGACAAGTGGTGTCTTGATATGAGCTGCATCATGTGGATAACAAACATTAGTGGCATAGTAGATTGTCCACAAATGTTGAGCTCAAAACTTGTATTCTTAGTAGTGAACAAACAATATTGAATTTTAGATGTTAAGTTGAGTGAGTTTGTGGCTTGGGATCAGTTTGAGGGAATATTTGAATTCAATAGAGTTAATAATAAATTGTGATTAATTTGGTTTGGGTTAGATTTTTGCATCTTTTTGTAAGTTGAATAAATGATACTAAATAAAAGCTAAAAATACTTCTGTCCATTTTGAAAATAATTTATTTATTTTCAACTTAATGGGTTTATTATTCTGTAATAAGTTGTAAGTAAAATTGCACTAAACAGTTGAAACATAGATCAGAAAATAAACAATAATAAATTGCACCAAACAATCCTTATATTGAGAAGTGTTATTATTAGCTAGTTTTCTATAAATTAGCCTATATCTTTTTTCCTTTTCATTTTTTTGTTTTTTGTTTTTTGTTTGGGTTCAGAACTTAATGCCTTTTTGCTTTTGATACCTAGTAACGGTATTACTTTTGGATTGGCCACTTGGCCAAACATGCATAACCTGAATCAGAGCCACTCTTAATAGTTTTGTCAAATGCCTTGCCAATGCCAAAAAATTGGCTTCAACTCGCAAATTCACTCTAATGGTGAGTCAAATGCCTTTCCAAAAAATGTCAACCAAATCTTAAACTAAATTTGGATAAAAGTTTGGCAAAGATATTCGTTGCCACATCAGTTTTCCTACCAAAATTTAACTATTTTTTCTTTACCAAAACGACGTTGGCGGGTAAGGTATCTTTAGGTTCTGTCATTATATTTAAAGTTCTCTTATTTCTTGTTGCTGTAAAATTTTTTCTTTGGAAATGATTTCCTCTTGTGGATCATCCTTCAAATTAGTGGACCAACCAAAGCTAATAGAGAGATTATCTGGAGAACATTGTGCATAATGCTTTAGATTAAATGAACTGACTCAATCATCTGCATTGTCTAATTACAAAATGATAACTTAGACTGAACCCAAGTTTTGCAATATCATTTTGGAACATTTTAACAATTTTGCCAAACCGGCAACAACATTCATAACCAGATTTTTTTCCTTAGAAACACTATACTTTTGATTTACACCCACAACATAAAATAAAAAAATCTATCAAATTGACAGCGACTCCAGATAATAATACACCACTGGAGGCATGATTCATCTTCCTGCGGTTTCCCAACAATCTAGATCTCTTGTATTTGGCTGGTCTCTAGGAAGGGATCTGCAAACAAATCAAAATTTAAAATATAATCGTTGCCATTTACAAAATTGCTTAGCGTAGTGTGTGGGTGATTTTCTGACCACACTGCCCGCTTAGTAACCAGCTGGAGAGCACCGGCAGAATAGATGGCACCTGGCTGACCTGCAACAAAAAGAGAAGACTCCGAGGGTGGTTCGTCACCCGGGGGTACTTCGACGATCAAGTCAGTACTCAATATCTCTCAAAGATAATCAAAAATGCTAAACTCAATGCTCAAAGCATAAAATTGCGTACCTTAGACCCACGGGGGTGCCTCTCTTTTATAGTTACCTCAATCCTAATCCCAGTAGAAGCCTGACTGCTATGGATTCCTGTTCAGTACTTACTTTGGACTCCTTAAGAGATAAAGATATACTCTCTAAGAGCTTTATCCTTATCTTGGCTAAGTCTCCTCTTTATTCTAGGACTCTTGTCCCTTATCTCTTATCCGCTTATCTCGGATTTCGATATCTTCGAAGATAACCTTGGCTTGACCGAGATAACCTTGGCGTCATGACCCCTGACACGTGGCACCTCGGCTGACACGTCGGCGTCATCTTGTCACATGTCGGTACTCAAAAATATATCCCCACACGTAGTTCCAATAGCAATTTATTCTACACAATTCAACAAAAAAATTGAAAGGTAGGTAACAGTCATAAAGTAAAGAAAATTCAAAGTTTCGTTCTAACAAATTCAAATTTTATACGATGATAATCCATATGAATAAATTGAAGACGAGCACAACATTTTCACATATAAGCACAACTTAGAATTAATGTCGGCAAACTCGTGTCCATAAACATGCATGACTACACCTCTAGCTACCCGCAATAAATAAATAAAAAGTGAAGAAAGCGTTGTTAATAATAATATTTTTGCTTACATTTCTATTTAATTTTGTAAAATTCTGTGGATCTAATTCCACTCCCAAACTAGCAATCACATAGAGCCTTACTAGAAAGTTCAAGAGAAAAAGAAAAACAAAAAAACCCAAAAGAACATAGGGAATTAATAGATATGCATAAATAGTGCTCAAATACCTTAACTAGAAAATAGGACATTTTTCTGGCACCAACCTTTGGAAATCCAACAATTGAACCAGCTATCAAAATTGTACTCTGCAATGTGGTAGTCCATATCTAGGCCATAGGCAAAAGCACACAAAATGCTTGCAAGAATTTCTGGAAGCAAGCTTGTACAGAAATTTAAGACATTTATATTCATAAATAACATAGCATTTGTGTACTCTAGTATGGTAACTAAGATATACGTTCCTCTCCTAAGAACAAAACTAAGCATTTGCTTCCAAAAAGCATGTCTAAATGCTATTCCAATGCAAAACAATTCTAAATGGATCCAACTCCAATCCAACTGCTAGCTGTGGCATTTTCATGTTTGATTTTTATTTTTTATTTGGTACAGAGGAAAAGAACAGCAAAAAAACAAAAAAAGCAAGCCTACTGTATATTCTGCTAAAAGCAGAGCACTAATTTTTGGGGGATCTACTAGGCCTACAATACATAAACTTTTTGGTTTAATGGCTGCAATATGGTAATGTTGTTCTCCTTTATCGGTGAAGTTGTAGAATATAATTTTTCTATGTAGCTCAAAGTCATAGATTCATCCCTAGTGTATAAAAGGCAAGACAAAATCATTTGAAGGAAGGCTTCCTAGCCACCAAAATGTGGTGGAATTGAACTAAATTGCCATCACAGCATGTCATCTTTGTGATGCAGTCCACAAGGAGCTTGGTACAACACAAGAAATAAACAGAAAACTTTGTCCAATCATTATGGTAGCAGGACTTCTAATATTTTCTTGTCACACTTGCCTACTGGGAAAAAAATAAAATAAAAAAAAGAAAGGCAATGCCAAAGAATTAACAAGAGGAAACAAGCCTTACCCCAACCAAAGTAAATAATATATAATAAAACAGAGGATAACATACCAAGAAGAAGACAATTCTTCCAGGAAGATAGCCACTGATATTGTTTACCTGAAGAAAAGGGGACCATAAAAAATAAAGAAAAATCAAACCTCACTTTATAAACCTATGGATGGCGTCTAAAATTGGAGCTATAACGAGATATAGAAACATCTAGGAAAATGTTTTAGTAAAGAACAAAATTGTGTGAAACTGAAGTATTTCATTCAATTTACATAAAAATCCACAGAAAAAGGGCCACTTTTCTCTACCCAAATATACCCAAGTGCACCATCCAACATGTGCCAAGAGAAGCTAATCAAAGTGCTGATGCATCGGCCAAAAGATTTCTGCACTACTTAAAGAGTGATCTTAGCTAAAAGATTTCTACACTACTAACACCGTCAATCAAAAACTAACTCAACCGTCAATCAAAAACTAACTCACTACAAGAAGTCACTCACCCATCACACTAGCTTGCACTAGTAATTAGTATTACCTTGATGATATTTCCAATCAAGTGGTCCACAAATCAAAAAAAAATTGCTTCAAGAATGTAAGTTAAGGAAAAACAATCTATTTGGAATATCAATTTTATGCATATGTTCTTGACAATAACCTTACAATCTACAATTACAAACTAAATCTTCACAAAACAGAGAGAGGATCATACTCCTACTTATAACAAAAAAAATAAAAAGTGACCAGGGTACTTCCAAATCAAAAGTGTTCCATTTCTCACAATTGACATGTTCAGGGTGTCCATTGTAATTTGTTTTTGCAACTCCCTTGAAATCGTGTATAGAAACAGAAGACATCATTTGACATCTTTCAAGTAATAAAGATTCAAAATCAAAAGGAGAACAATAATAAAAAATAAAAATAAAAATAAAAAATGAGCTCAACTTACCTGTATTTGTCCACCTTGACCACTGACCATATCAATCATTTTGATGTATAATCCTTTTTCTACCGGCTCATAAACCTATAACATGCATAGAATTTGTTATCTTATAATCATATACTCCATTTCTCAATGCTACATTTCAAAAGAATAAGTATAAAAAACACAAGTTCAAAAAACTACCCTTTCATAATTTTCTACTCGCTTTTTGAAGTCTTGGTATCCAGCTTCAAAATCTGTCCTGAAGGGAAACAACATTTACTAAGTATAGAAGTGTAGACTAAGATAATAATTTGCTCATTTTAGTAAGCAGCCATACTCCTCTGCATAGTCAGGGCTTTGTAGAATTTTGAGACGTATGTTTTTTTCAATAATGCGCTCATCATTGCATACTCTCCAAAAAAATAATCTATATGGCAAAGCATATAGCGTGCATAAGACATTAACGAGTTTAAGATGAGATCGACAACATATCAATAAAATTTCCAACCATGCTAATTTAGCCACAAACAACCATATTTGTTTAGCTTGTTAATATGAAATATAGATAAGATATGATCTCAAGTTTTAAAGATGAAACATTTCACATAGGAAAGCTCAAGAAATAATTGGTCTTCTTGGCCTACTATGCAGCTGTTGGAAAAATGGTGTTTTATATGGCTTATTTTGGGCCAACTTTGAGGCCAAAATTGAGTGGGCCCTAAACGTCTTTTGGGGTGGGTTCGAAGAGGTGACGTGTTCCTTGCCGCGTGGCAAGTCATACGGTGAAGACAGTTCGTCAAAACCATTTATGAGTGAATGGAAAGTTGACGTCGTTTTCGGGTCTAACATTAATTTTTAAGACAAAATTCATTTGAATTTTTTCAATAAAAATTATTGTGAGAATTTAATTTAAATATAAATATAAATTTTGGTTTCCTAAAGATTGTACCTCTTCCTTTATTGATTAAACTATTCAAATAGTTTAATAAAAGTATTCCAACAGTTCATAAAACTGTTCTACCAACGGTACTTTTTTCAAACAATTTGACAAAGTGTTCTAAGCAACGGACAGATCACTATTCAAACAGTTATCTGTTTGAATAGTGCGTGCA